TATTTCATGAATTTATGCCAATAAATTTGACATCAAACTATACATTACAATTCAAATTTTAGTATTATATATTACTTAATTTCATAATTTAAAAGTAAATATTCAAAAACCACACCTAAACACCGATTTTTGTGTCACATGGTATATTGAATGCAGCACTAGTTCAAATTAGACGTTTGTGATGTCAAAATACAAAGTCTATAGCTTTGTATAAATTACAAACTGAAATTACCGATATTAACAAGCTAAAACATAAAATAAGAACCTCATATCTTTTCTATTTGCTGAAACATCACTTATATACTGAATTAAACACAGTGGCCCTGCTCACCTTTTTCCATTTTTGGAAATGCTCCCTTATATACACTTAGTTCTGTCTGTGACATGTAAACAACCAACTGAAAGCTCAGAATGTCCCCCTAATTGCTTTCTCAGCCATTTTCAAGTATTATGATATCACCTTGTTCCGCTCCACATGTCACAAAGCAAGGATTGTGAATGCGTAGTTTGAAGAGAATAACATCACAACAATTATAGCGACCAGTACAGAGCCCCAACCTCAAACGGATAGAACATCTTTGGGATAAACTGGAATGCAGAATTATGACAAGGCCAAGATGGCCCCCTTCAGTAATGGAGTTTACTAATACTTTAAAGGAGGAGTGGAGCACAATACCACCAGCTTTCTACCAGAAATTAGTAGACAGTCTTCCACGACACATTGAAGCAGTCATTAAGGCCAATGGCAGGCCAACACACTAAAAATTTCTTGGAATAAAAACATGTATTATTCATGACTACCAGTGTCCCATGACTTTTGGTAGGATAGTATATGTGTGACTGTGGAAGTGTTATATATGGTGACATAGATGACAGTGCATTATTGTTGTTTGTAGTACTTCTGCTTATTTACTGATATCAGAAAGGCAAGAAATACAAGTTTAACAAATTAAAAGCAAAAATTGTTTTTTTATATACTTATAAAAAAATATTTATGAACTTTGGATGTAATGTTATAATTTAATGTTCAATCACATAGTAGTTTATTAGTAAAATATTTTAATAGCCTGGCAAACACCCTATTGTAAGTATCTATTTCAATTTTAATACATTTCCAGGTCTGAAGTAAAAGAAAATGCAAACAACACAAATTTTACTGCATAATCCAGTTTGTAATGTGTTTTTAGTTATTCAATGGATGTATAGGATGTGAGAAGTATCAAGTTATTTTGCATTACATATTTTGTAATTTAAACCAGTACAATAATGTGTGTGTGTGTATGTGTGAAATTCAATCATACTAATTATGATAATCTTGAAGATTATATTAAAAGTTTCTCGTTTATCTGTTTAAATTTGGACTGGGTGTGGACCAGTGGTTAGCATGATACGTTATGGTATAGTATGAAGGGTTCACAGTTTGAGATATGATGCCAACAAACATGCTCCACTTTTTATTAGTGGGAGTGCTATAAAAGTTACAGTCAATCCTGTTATTTGGTTCAGAGATTCAGAGGACATTGGGTGCTGGTGAATCATGTCCTCTCTTTCTTCATTAGCTCAATTATGGATGGCTGTACCTGTATCTTAGGGATCTCTGACTTTGCCCACTTGCTTATAATGTGCCATTTAAATTTAACATTCTAGTTGCCTTATATAATTTCTTTTAATTTGCATGTGATCCACCTTAGTGTTATTTCGATTCCATGTTGTTTAGGCTTAATGCCTTATACAATGTACGTTCACATGCAGGACACTGAGTATTACTAGTTAAAGTAAAAACAATTAACATTGATAAAATGCAACTCACATGTCAAAATACTTTTCTGGTTTGTAAAATAAAGAAAAATGCAATTGCAAATACAGCAGATACTAATCAGAATACAGAAAGAAGGAAAAAATGAAAGTAACTTAAATTGAATTAATCCTTGTTAACCCAAAAGCCAAGTTGTCAACATTTTATCAGTAAGCATGTAATTTACAGTAAATCAATGCAAATATTCATTCCATTTTTCATTATAAAATAATTATATAAAAACAACTAGATATTGATTAAGAAAATGCTTTTACTTTTACTTTATGTCTAGGTGGTATATCTAGAAAGTTTTTCTATTGTTAGGGATACCAATACCTGAAAGGCTAGCACTATGAAAGAGAATATTGTTACCAGCATGGTTTGGTTCGCAGACCAGCATTGTCATGGAGGATAATGGAACCTGAGTATAGTGTTGTTGTTTCTTCTCTAGGTTTGGTATATGGATTTGTACGATTAGCACACTGTCATGGAGTATATTGACATTTAGGTGCACTTTTTACATTTAACTCTTTCAGTACAGGATCGGTCCCTGGGATCAACCTCAACCATTTTGTGCTTGTTGTAGTTTTCATGCTATAACATAAATTAGTAAGTGTATGTTCACAAAGTTTGGCAAATTATCAGTAAACATTACAAGGCTTTCATGCACGAAATATTACTTTTTTTTTTTATTAAGTCTTAAGGTTAGTTAAGTAATGTTTTTCACATGCCTTTTTTCTTTTCACATGTTGCCTATCCAACATGCAAAGTAATTTTAATTTTAAGGTTAAAAATAATTTTATGCATCAGAAAAGTTTCAAATTTCACACGAAATCTTTATAATGTCCAGATAGCTATTAAACATTTCTTACGAAAAAAACTATATTTTATGTTATTTTCACTAACGAATCACAGTATGGTTCAGTTGAGTTGACAGATCTCATAACCACCATAAACAATTAGGAAATGAATATAAGTTATGCCTTTTTCGTTCTAGAATGACTACAAATTATAACACAAAAATACAAATGTTTAGACTAAATAGCTTAAATCTCATAACATTATACATTTATATATAGTTATTATTTTTATTATACTGACATTCCAGTTGTGCCTGAATAACATTAACAATACAGAAGTTACAATGACGTGGTGCACGTGCACTCATGTTATTGTATCCAATAATATAAAAGTGACCTTTTGTCTTTACAAAGTGACCTGTCTTGGCTGTGTTTTAGTGGACTAGTGGACATTTCAGTTATTATGCATAATATATGTATATACATTATTACTATTTATGTTAATCCCCAGTGGCACAGTACCACTAGAAACCGGGTTTCGATATGCATGGTGGGCATAGCACAGATTGCCCTTTATGTAGCTTTGTGCTTAATAACAAACAACAACTATTTACATTAAAGTTCTTGAACTTATTTTTCTTAAAACGTAAAACAGTAAATAAAGAAGTAAAGCAAATAATTATCTCTTCCAATTATGACCTTTGCATTCATTTGATGCTTGTCGTGGTCGCTAAGCCTTACAAAATTTTGCACATGGAGGATCTGAAACAAAATAATTTTTTTTTAAGTTTTACATATATATATATATATATATCTTTCAAATAATCAAAAAATCATTAATTGCTATATCAATACCATAGAATTCCACTATAATTTATCAAGCTTAGTAATTAATTTTTATTTGGGTTTAAAAAAATATGAAATTTTGAGCAGACTAAAGACTCACCTTACCAGCTTGAAGATTTGTATCGAAAGTTATCATGTTGGAAGGTGTAAGGGCCAGTACCAAAAAACTACCACAATGTTGGATACAATGACAGAACATCAATATAGGACTCAGCATTCATGGATCCATGCACTGCAACCAGTGGATCTAGTCCAGTGGTTCTCAAACAGTGCACCCCAGAGCTTTTTCAGGTGCGCTCCGTAACATTCCTGAAAAATCTATCCAGATATGAAAAGCAAATGTATACTAAGTTACTATATTATACCATTTCTTTACGAACACTCTGCTTGTTTTGTTGCGACATTATTATGATAGTTATAAGTTACTTTTCTTGCAACTAGCTTCTGGTTCGCAAGTTTTGCACGCGTTTGAAACATGTAACAAACGTTGCTGAAACGGCATGTTAACACCGGCACTAGCTTTCATCACGTGGCAACTGGCAGTGTTGCATAACAGGCGTTGGTGAGTGGGCGTGTCGTTCTTGTGAACTGCCGTCAAGAGTAAACGTATTGGTCCTTTTACAAGTTTCAGAATAATTACCGTTGATATAATTGTCTTTGTTAAGAATAATTCACCCATAAAAATGGATAAGTTTCTTAAAAAGAATGTGACATTGATGAATGTAATCCTGAA